GATCCATTTTTCGAAATTCAAATGACTTTTTCACATAAACCACAAGATTTTAGTGTGGTAAACATTATATATACCTTAATTGTCTATGTAATTTACGTGCAGACAAATTTATATTAATACGTTATTTAAAAGGTTCCTGATATTGAGGAGATTATTAACGGAACACAGCAGTCACCGATTGGTAAAATTAATTTTTTTATTTAATTTACTTAAATAGTTTTTGGATATATTTTCAATCATTTTCTTAATTATTATTATAGTCTCAACACATCCTCCCGCTAGAGCATCTGGATCATCAAATATTACGCGTCAATCATTAATTACACTTCCAGAAGTCAGTGATGTAGATCTTTCAGTTTCTTCTATTAGTGGATTTAGCGGGGGATTTGATGCCGGATTTGGAATGAATGATGATTTACTTATGATGGATGATGGCGGGTAAATGATATTCATTGTTTATTTATCATAAACTATTTTAATTTTAGCTCTTTGAAAATTAATACTTGTAATAGAATTAGAATTGACTTTGATGAAGAAGGTGGTCTACATGAATTTGAACTTCGATCTGATGGGCAGGGTGAGAATCAACAACAAAATGGTCGTGATCCTTTAAATTCGGATATGAATGAAATCATGAAAAGGGTTAGAGAAGAACATGACGCTGGCCTTCAAGAAAATAAAAAAGAAAAGAGACGGATACGTCAAAAGGAACCTAATACAGGAGAACAAGATTTGGTATATAATTAGGTTAAAAACTATCATTCATTATATATTGCTTGCTTACATGGGCTGTTATAGTATAATCAACAGGATGATGAACAAGTTGCAGACGTTCAAATGGACTTAGAGAGAGAAAGCGTGCAAGAAGCTCTACAACAAACAACTCATGACGATCAAGAAGTGCTACAACAAACAATTCACGACGACGATCAAGAAGTGTTACAACAAATAATTAATGACGATCAACAAGCACCAGATCCTGAAATCAATGCTAGACAATCTTCAGTTGAACCAAGGCGACAAAAAAGACGACGACTTTACTATATGTATGATGAAAATACTGAAATGACTAATGAACAAATAATTGCTATGCGAGATGGTATTGTAAATGATTTAGAAGAGGGTGAAAGAATTGCAAGAGATAAAGTTTGTCATTTCTATTCTAAATGTTATTATCTTAATTCATTTATATGTTTTAATATATGTTTAATATATGTGTAGGCAAAGATGCAAGAGTATAAAGATCTATGGAGACAAGCCCTTTATACACCAGGCCTACCACGCAAGTATTAGAATTTCATTAATGCACTGAAAACTTTCGTTTTCTACCAAAATAAACTTCAATGACATTCATAATACAGTTAAGGCCTCACAGCTCTCGACATTTTGGAACATGCATTGTGCACCAATGCTTCAAGGTATATTTTAATCAATAAATTATTTTATGACTATTTACATATTCTAATTATCTCTCTTCATTATCAAAATAATCTAGATGACATTGTTAAACAAAGGAGAGCTCAGCCAGCTCTTATACCTCAACGTAAGAATGTAAACTGATTTATATCAATAATTTTGTTTTAATCACGATAATCTCAAACATTATTTTGTATGATAAAAGATACTAATCTAGATGAGTTTGACGATTTATATGCTGACGTTGAGGACGTCGGCATTGGTGGATCACGTCAGGTATTCTACATTTCTTAAATATAAAAATTAAATCAAACCAAAGGCTTATTTCTACTATTACTATTAATTATTGCTATTTTATTTAGCGTGAAAGAGATGGCAGTTTACAAGATATTGAACTTGAACGCTTAAGAAAAGCTGGTAGTCAAAGCAATTCTGCAATTACGGGGTTAAACAGTACTGGCACAGAAGTTCCAGATCTGTTGGGTAAAACCAAATTTTCAGTTATTTATCTTTATTCATAAAATATGTATTTCATTGTTAAGAATTATTTCTGAATTTGTCTGTAGATTTTGATGCCACTTCATCGGCAGGAAACATAAGTCGCGATATTTTGGAATTTTCGGGACAACTTGGAAGGTAATTAGAAATGTTAAACCATTTCATTTGATATAAATTTAATTGATATAAACACAATTTAGTATAAATTTTAATGACATATATTTAATTTTTTTACAATATTTTTAACAATAATGTTGGTCACCAAAGACCAAGTTCCATAGAATTGCAGAGACCATCCATTTCCATGTCAGAAAACTTTCCTCCTTTTGATGATAATATTGAAATTCCAGATTTTCAAATATTTGGAGGTATATTTACATCTATACTTTTTTTATTTAACTTGATGAAAATCTAATTCATTTTTTTTTCATAATTATGTTTTTAGAATTGGAGGAAGATAGTTCAATGAGTGCTAGAGGAAGACATCGTAATTCAGATTTAAAGTCTAATATAAATAGCGAACATGAACAATTAAATTTTCTGGAATTTATAAAAGATTTGATGCAAAAAGCTGAAGTATCAAGCGCTATATTTCAAGATATTATGATGGCTCAGCGTGTTAAACGTGCCGAAACAGCTAAAGCCTTTTATAATATTTTAGGTAAAATAATATTTATATATTATAAACATATAATTCATCGTTAATTGATTTTATTAATTGTGAATAGGCCTCGCAACAAAAAATCTAATTAAAGTCAAACAAGTTCAACCATATAATGATATTTTAATTGAACTTAGAGAGTAATTTATTAGAAGTCAGCTTCTATGTATAATAGTAACTTAGTATTACATAAAGGCACTATGAGAGAATTACGTCTGTCTGATATTCAACAAAAAAAAAAAAAATCGCGTATTTTCAAATTCATCAAGAAATACATTAATAAAACGATTAGAATATGCTTCAAAAAATTTAATATTATCAGACATATATTACAGAAATATAAAAAATGTATATATATATATATATATATATACTTTAAATTAGGTATCAGCCCGAATCAGCCTATGATAATTATATAGGTACAGTATATACGTATTAATGATTTTCTGCCAATCCTCTTTAATCTGAAACCGTTATTTCCAAAAATTACTTAATATTTAACCACCTATGGTTAAGCTTGCACGTATGTACGTACGTACGTACGCATAAATACAAAAGTGTTACATCGATTTTTTTTTCTCCTTGAACTCATTGTGGTAGAAAATGGTAGAAATGATATACTTTGCGCGGGTAAGAAAATGATTCCATTAAGCGAATAATAAAGTCTATAGCATATTTATTAAGGCCATTGACATTTCCTTATTAAGCATGGCCATCGAATGGATTGGATTACTCCAATTAATATTGAAGCGACTTATCCGACTGATTCAACTTTGGATCCTAGATTGAGTGAACATGGATGCAATCAAGCTCTAGAGCTTAGTCAATATTTTGTGAAAAACAATATAAAGATTGATCGTATTTATTCTAGTCCTCTTTACCGTACACTACAAACTGCAAGCATAATTGCGGATAAATTAGATTTAGAAATCTTTATCGAGTATGGTTTAAGGTTTGTCGGTTTATTTTTTGATGTTAATAAATCTTCTAAAAATTGTTGCCTATTTGAAATAATTTCAGCTGTTATTAAATAATAGCGAGTGGTATGACCCTTTAGAGGCAAGAACTTATCCTAGTTGTACGCCCCTTTCTGTTTTACATGAATTTTTTCCACGTATCAATCCTACATATACTCCTATAACAAAGCTGCCTAATGATGGGGAAACTTTCCAAGAACTTCACAAGAGGCTGGATAGAACTATGCAAAGTTTAATAGGTGCAGGAGAGGATCTCAAATGCGTTTTGATAATTGTGCACGCAGCATCATTAGTCGCTGGAGTGAAAGCTTTAATTAAACAAAGAAACACTGTAATAAATTGCTCTACATGTTCTTTAACAAAATGTATAAGAAGCAAAGAAGGTTGGATACTTGAATTGAATGGGGACACTTCCTTTCTATCTCACGGATCAGAGAATAATTGGATTTATACCGAAGTAGGAGTAGAATATGATGTAAATGAGGTTGAGGTTCAGGTCAACGATTAGGCAAATGTGGTGTGAACAGGCTAATTACGCAATTTTCCGAAAAAATCTTTTTTTAAATGTCTAAAATTCTTTATTTAAAATTATATCTGTTCAATAAAAAAAAACGAAAAATTATTAAGTAAGGCTAACAAACTGAACGTCCATAAATTTGTGCTTAGCGTTAGAGTGAACAAGAGTAAAATAGGTCATCAGGTATCATCAAACAATGAAGTACTTAATTGGCTAATTAGATTCTGGATGGACGTAATATCTATTTGAACAGTATTTTTGCGGTGTCTTTAGGCAGCTTGAATTCATTCAAATTAAAATAACCTTTATTTAAAAAATCTTAATTAATATATTTAACACGATTTTATCTTCATCGTACCAGTTTGCTTCAATGATGGTAAATGACCTGGTCATTTGCAAATTTTTCAAATGACCTCAAATGACCCCAAAATGACCGATCATTATCGGTCATTTCAATTTTGGGTCATTTGGAAATGACTCGTGACCAAGTGACCACAGTCATTTAGAAATGACCGGGGTCATTTGAGGGTCATTTAGTTTATAGGTTTTGAAATAGACTGGGTTAGGCTAGGTATTTGTATACTCGGGCCCAAGCTCAATAAAAATTTATATGCCCGACCCAATCCAGGAATAACCCCCTAGCATGACCACCAAAATCAGTTACATCGCTGTTTAAAATCTGATCTGACCTCGTAACCCAGTAGGTCAACGACATTTTTTTACATTATATATCGATATTATCGTTATAAAACTTAAATATATACTATCTTTAAAATTTTTATTGTTTAAAAAAGCCAAGTTTATTCGAATGATTTGAACTTTTATTATTGGCTTTACATAATATTATAATATGAATATTTGCAAGTTTCGAATTACCAATAAAAAGTATTTTTATCCCGTTTATGCTAGGTTTTTGGAAG